GAAAGACGATTTCGGGCATTCGACTCTCAACGGGTGGAATGTCTGGTGGCACTTTTCCTTGGGAATCTAGAGTAGAGTTTGCTGCGAACATCTCTGCAAAAATATTTGCTTTCTCCTGCGATGTTGTTGCTAATGTCCCGTCGGATTTGGACAGTGGTGGAAATGAACTATTAGTGGAATTTCTTCTGACCGCTTTAGCAAGGGACCAAAACGAACGAGAGCCATTGGGGCAATCTATGAGTTCCGATCTTATCTTGGCATAGTATGTTTCTTTCGAAGTATCTATATTGTTTGGCTGCAGTTATTCCTGGCATCAACGTATTCTGCTCTAGTCGCGAGGTTAGGGTTTTTGCGCCAGCGATGGTAGGCTGTTTGTTCTAAGGCAACAGTTCTAGAACAGTTTTTGTTGAACCAGGGTTTCGAAGGTGATGATCTTTTCGGAGAATGAGGTATGTTTGTGTCCATTCCGAGCATGATGATCTCGGATATTTCCGCAGCACACTGTGAAGGGTCCTCAGAGTCAAAGCATACTCTATGCCAAGGAAATTCGGAGAAAAACATGCGGAGACCGTCCCAATCTCCTGAATTGTAATGCCATATAAAACGTGGGGGTGCCGGAGCAGTTGATGGAATGAAAAATGGGCAGCTCAATTTATAGATGGTGGAATATTTATTTTTCTAGATTTCTGTGATTTGCTGTTCTAGTCTTCTTTCCCAGAATGTCACTGTGCTTGAAATGGCTCGAATGTCGAACCACAAAAACCTGAAGAAAAGAGTAAAATCATCATTCGAAGAATGTTTTGCGTGTTTGGAGGGTGGCTCGTTGAATGGAAATCATTATCCGTATACCTATATGAAACTTGCTTCAGAAGAAACAACATTATGCTAGGCAACACATTTAGTTCCTAAAGTTGAACTCCAGCTCGTAGGAACTGAAAAGGATGTACTAGAGGTCATCAGGTTATTTGGGTTGGAACGCATACCTGATCAGTTTCCGATTTAGGCAGATTTGGCATTCCATACTCATGCTGGAGATATAAATACACCCTAATATAGTTAAGTATATTCGTTTACATCAGGGAAGCCTTCAAGATTCATATACTCGCCTGATCTGTATTTTATTATCATTCTCGAAATGGATAATCATGACCAGCAATAGTGGAGTATAGGGAGAAATAGATATTCGCTTTTATTTTTGTTGATATGCTCACTAAACCAACATTTTCCACGTCTTATTGTTCCTATACCTGGCACTGGCGCGATATATGCCATTAGTGCACCTGGTCCATGCATAATAGTATATTATGTAACAAGTGTTATAAACGTCCTTTTAGTAACGAGTATTTTAAGCACGAGCGGAGCAGAGCGGAGCGAGTGTTTAATAAACGAGTGTCTAGAAGAGTTTAGAAACGCGTTACATACTATGATTTTTCTACGAACTCCGAAAATTACATTAACATACCTGCTATTCCTGCTAACCTATAAAATAATTCGAAAGGAATGGGAATTGAGAACATAATACATGCAACTGCATGCAACCAGCGAGACACGTATAAGTGATATTGGTTGTAGATGTATCCAGTTCATTGCTTACTAACCTTTGTTTCACGTTTATTGTCATGCTCAGCGCATAGATTAAATGAATAAAATTGTTCTCAAAGATGGATGCTTCATTTTTACACTTCTTGGAGATATGCAAGTATCAGAACATTCTCATCGATTTCACTTTCGTCTACATTTCGCATATATTTTAAATGAATAATTCTGATACAAAATTTGAAAATAACAGTTGACAGTTGATACAATTGACAGGCCAGACATGTCTCAAATTACTGAAGCTGTGTTTGATAAACTGTGTTGCCATGGTAATATGTTTAAGAAATCGTGTTGCCATGGTAACGTGTTTAATATTTTGAATAAATCACAGATCGACAATCCGTGATTAATCGATCATTTAGCGTGGTACATATCCGTACGCTTAATGCTATATTAGTTATGTGAGTAAAAAAATATATTTTATATTGAAACTACAGAACATCCTTGGAAATTAAATAAACCTGCTGTTGATGCAAGTAGAATATTCTTATCACACGGATTATTTGTTGCATTGCATACATATGGCACGGCATTGGTGGTTACTTCAAATATTCATTTGAGTTAATTGTTTCGGTTGCAGAAGAAACAGCATGTTTCATTCGGATATAATGAAACAATCTACTATTCTAGTGAAGCGTTTGCAATAACTTAAAATATCGCCTGGCAACTGCAACAGCTGTCATGAATATCTTCCAATGGTGAGGTTTATTCTCATTGTGAAATCACTTCATTGTGACACATGAATTTTGGTAAATTTTGAGAGACCATCACTTGAATTTTCCGAATGACATTTTATTTATTTTATGCACTAGCGGGCCGTAAAGTGCACTTTACCGCCCTGCTATGCGGGCGTTAAGTTGCACTTTACCGCCTGCTGGCTCATTATGGCCCACGGACCGTAAAGTGCACTTTACCGCCCGCTGTTCTCAGTTTACTGATATCCACATATCAATTCATGATAAACCTATGAACATTTGCCTAGATTCTAATATATCCAGCGGTATATCATAAAATTCTTGTTTATCCGATCCATATAGTCTCCCTATTATTATCATCACTAATTTTTACTTTTCAGTAAAGGAATGACAATTCAGCTCGTTTATTGGATGTATGACTATCACTGCTATAGACAACAACCATCAGCTTGCTTGACAACGTCAAAATTAGGTATATATACTGGGTATGCATATTGTTAAATTCTGAAGAATGAATCTCTTCTAGAGATCAAAGAGTTTTACTATCACGGTACCCAGGTAGCACATCATATTGGCTGGAACCCGATTTCATATTGGGCCGATATAGATATATCGAACATGTGAAAAATAATATAGGTCCAATATGAGAGTATATTGGACAAACAATATTGGAATGATAATATTGGTGGAATATTGGTTCAACCTGAGCTGAATATGGATTGTCAGCTACAATATTGGTGAAATATTGGTTGTAAAATTCGATAACAATGTGTTGAAAAACATATCTATAAATGTTATATGATATTGTTTTACGAATGTCGATACAACAACATCGTATACATATTGTTCCCGACATTTACAACCAATATTGCAATTTGAACATTCTCCCCATGTCGATTCTGAAGCGGTTATGCAATATTGTATATTAAAGTTAAACGGCGTATCGGTTGGATATTGTTTTAAGAATATTTGAAACATTATATTCACCCATCTTGATTGATATCATTTTATCTATATCATGCGGAAGATATCGTATACAATTTGCTTCTTACATTTATAACCAATATCGCGATTTGAATATTGTCCCCATGTTGACTCTGAAGCGGTCATGCAATATTGTATATTTGAGTTCGACCAGTTCGACGGCATATTGGTTGAATATTGTTTAAACAATATTCGAAACATCATATTCACCTATCTTGATTAATATCATTTTATCCATATCATGCGGAAAATATCGTATACATATTGTTTCCAACAATTATAACCAATATAGCAATTTGAACATTCTCCCCATGTCAATTCTGAAGCGGTTATGAAATATTGTATGTTCGAGTTCGACAGCATATTGGTAGAATATTATTTCAACAATATTTGGAATATAGAATTTACCTATATTGACTGATGATATCATTCCAACTATATCATGCGGAAGACATCGCACACATATTGTTTCCAACAACTATAATCAATATCGCAATTCAAACATTCTCCCCATGTCGATTCTGAAGCGGATATACAATATTGTGTAATCGGATTCGACGGCAAATTGGATCAATGTTGTTTCAACAATATTTGGAACATCGAATTTACCTATATTGATTTTGATATCATGCGGAGAATATCGTATACATATTGTTTCCCACAATCATAACCAATATCGCAATTTGAACATTCTCCCCATGTCGATTCTGAAGGGGTTGTCAATGATTCGAATATGAATATCAATAACGGCAATTCAGCGTGTAATGGCCCTCGGCTAGCGCCATCGGGCCATTATTCACGCCACAGGCCATAAACGCCTACTTTACGCCCTTGCATGATACATAAATAACTATTATTACTCAGTCGAATTGAGCGTCTCGTTTCACATATTTTCATCACTCATGGATATTTCGAGAAAATTATGATTCAGAAGATAATTCACATTTTCTGAATGACGAACACATCATTTCGATATCAGGATTTATATAAAAAATTCTGACGTCAAAGTTGGTAACTACTGCGGGCGTCCCTCCCAAAGTTTGACAAAAAATTACATTTGTGTTGCTCAATCTGAGGATCATGCGTGAACATCCATTGAATCCATTGATAATAATCAGGATCAGCTACTGGGAACATTTGAGTAGGTATTATGAACCAAAGGAGAATAAATAATGTTGTTTTTTCTCTCGCTATTCTCGTTGTGCTTCTCTCGTCCCGGTTCTTGTGGTCTCGTCCCAAGATCCAAGTGAAATATCCTCCTCGAGACGAGACGAGACGAGACATGAAGAGACAAAAGACGAGAAACTATCGTCTCGACAGCATCACTATCCACGAAGTTCTTCGAACGTTCAGGGATTCCCTTTCGTGCGCTCCGAGCGATAAAAAAATGATTCGGTTAAATTTCCATTCAACTCTGGGTTATCGGTAGTTCGATGAGGAATTTTTTGTGACGTCAGACCTCGCGTCAGACTATAGTTACGTTAGAGCCTTCTTGCTTTATTGTATCGGTGGTAACCGTGATAAAACCCAACGAAGACGATTGGAGAGCGTAAGAAAGTGAAATCCACGAAAACCCGAACATTATCCGAGACGCGCTCAAAATGATTCCCGAAGATTTCTCTGGCAAATATTCAATCCTTCTGAGTCTCTTCTATTTACTCTTCACTCTCGGTATTGCAGAATTGCTCGAATACCACTTCAATCGATAGTAAACTTTCGTTCCAGGTGGAGTTTCCCCTAGCACGAGGATTACCAGCGATTAGACTTCCCGGAGGATCAAAAAAAGAAGAATCTGTCGAAACAAACTTCGACTATCGGTATTGTGTTCGTGACACTCGGAAAGTTCTGAATGGCCTTCCTGTTATCGTCGATGCTGTGGTGATTATAAGCCGATGATGAAGTGAAACATTATGCATTCAGCCAGCGTGAAGAATGGAAATGGAATGAATTGTTGAAAATCTATGCGGAACAATTGATGAGCATCCTTGTTAGTACAGGGTTTTCACGTTTATATTGAATCATTTTTCAACTTTCTCAATATTTGTTAATTTCATTCTGTGGAAACGTTTTTTCATAATTTTTCCGGCAGATTTCATACTTTTATGTCAACAAGAAAACAGTTGTAGGTACACAGATAAGAAATATTTTTTCAATCGAACAAATCCATTTTCTTGAAATTCAATTGCTCCGTACAAGAATGTTTCATTCGAATGAAGCAACATACACTTGTCTCAAATCAATCGGCTTGTTTTGCTCTGGTTCATGAAAGTTCTTGATATAAATCTGCCCAACACAAAGAGTATATTTCTTCATCCGAGAAAACAGCGACTACAAGGGACTTGCAGTGACGTGTTATAAAGTGGTGGGTAACAACTGAACGTCTGCGCCTATTCGACTCCTTAGTCGTTTCCGCTGTTGTTTCTTCTGAAGACGGTGGAAAGCGCCTTCGTTATTCAATAGTCAAGTGTTCACAATTATTGTTGGGCACGACGACGAGTTGAGGTGGACGGCTCTTCAGTCACAATTTTGCGAGCAGCAGCAATATTTTCTGCAGTACGAGCAGTACGAGCATGCACTGGTGTTTTCACATATTCTACAGATCCGGTTTTCTAAAATGTTTGCACGATTTTTCCGATTGTACGCACATTTGGACGATTGAATTGACCGAAAAAATCGCACGAAGTGCACGATATGCACTTTGATTTGAACGCCCATTTTCATAATAGGCGTGAATAACTTCAACGCGTTGCTCGATTGTGTATCTTTTCATGGTTCAAATTGAGTTAGTCTGAAATAGAGAAATGTCAAATTGAATGCAGAGAACAATTTGACGTTCAGGTGTGGTTCACATTCAACATCGGCCCTTCAAATTTATCCACCCTTTCTGAATGCCCATAAAGAATACTTAACTTCTGACCATTTGAACGTTGAGCTGTAAGACCAAAATTGACTTATTATATTATTTTCATAATTCTGAATTCATTACCTATCACATGTTATCACTGAACTTGTTACGGGCGACAGAATCTTTGGGTATATAATAACAGTACATACAATTCTACCCTCGATTCTACATATGAGACTCAAGGATTACATAGAAATACGATGAACTTTGTTCTTTTAATTATCATAAAATATACATCGTTCTTCACTGCTCGTTTGAATTCTACACGTTGGAACGTTATATGTTTTCTGAAGCATGAGTTCTATAAGAGTATATAATATAATGTAAATGTTTACGAACACCCACTAACAAGGTTCTTCTTTCTGGGTTCAATCTATTTATTCACCTCAAAGTGGTCGAAACGAATGCTACTCCTACTGATAATTTATATTTTTCACTTTATGACTCGAATTACTCGGTATGCAGAGATATACTAAAATACGTGTTCAATGCTAAAAAATTCTTTCATTACGCGGGTATACTGCTTCTTGAAGTTAATATCATGATCCTAACATTACCGACACTATAATCAGTATTACTTATCCAGTAAACGATCTGAAACTGTATAGATTCATATTTCATCGTAAACACATAGATTGAATTGAACAATGATAGAATGCCAATTTTTTCGACAAGAGTTGGACATTCATGTTCACTAGTATCAGTTAACACTAGTATTTTTTTTATGTCCTGGTTCCCACGAAGTGGGATATCCACTAATGTTCATAGAACATCGTGAGAACCAAGGAAAATAAGGTAGGAATTGGTGTTCTTCTTTGATTTCTGGAGGTTATATGCCTCGGGAAACAACTCCATTGGCAATGTGTTCCAGAGCCTCGCGTTCGTT